CCGCCTGCGGCCCGACCTCCACTGCATGAGAGACCTGCTGGCCTCGGCCGTGCCCTGGCGCTACCTGCTCAACGCCTGCGGCCAGGACTTCCCCTTGAAGACCAACCGGGAGATCGTCCAGCTGCTGAAGGGCCTCGGGGGGAAGAACATCACCCCTGGGGTGCTGCCACCCCCCCACATCACCACCCGCACCAAATATGTGCACAGGGAGGGGGCCGGGCACAATGCCTTGGAGCTGGTCACCCCCCAGCTGCGCAAGGCACCCCCGCCCCACAACATCACCATCTACTTTGGCTCCGCATACGTGGCTGTCACCCGGCCCTTTGTGGAGTTTGTGCTGCAGGACCAGCGCGCCATCGATCTGCTGGCATGGTCCGAGGACACCTACAGCCCCGATGAGCACTTCTGGGTGACGCTCAACAGGATCCCGGGTAGGACATGAGGTCTGGGGAGGACACGGGATTCCTCCACCCCAGCACCTGCCACCCTGGCACCTGCCACCACTTGGCTGTTGTGTGGTGCCAGGTCTTTGTGGTGGCCACGATGGCTCACCTCTCCATGGAGGTATTTCCAGCTGTGGCTCTCGGTGGTGCCCACCAGCAGGTTTTTGCCACTCCTGTTGATTCACATGGAGAAACACCCAGCCAGGTGACAGCCCATGTTGGCAGCACTAGTGGCAAGCAAGCAAGGAAGGTGTACTGAGCCTTCTTGAGTTTGATGTCCTGGACATTTTCCCGCTTGGCTGAGCTGTCTTCTGCCAGGAACAGCACCCGTGACTGGGTAGGGGAGGTCCCTAGCGTGGTGGGCTTTGGAGTGTGATGGGTTCAGGGATGCTGCACGCCTTCCTGCTTAGTAGCAGCTGCCCTGCCCCATGAAGACCCAGGGATGCAGCTTGGCTTCCACCCTTTTCATCCATACTGTCTCACTAGTCCCACATATACTCCCTTGTACCATCTTCCTTCTCCAAAAGCCACCGAAGAGTGTTGTGAATTTCCAGGTCTGTCTCACACACCGGTGGGCTGCATGCCTTCACTCGTAGGGGAGAGGGTATGCACTTGCCCACCTATACGTGGCCTACCCCAAGCCCTGCATGTTTCCCAAACATAAATACATGGCCCCAAAATCCAGCAAGAGTTGGGGTTGATTTCAGTCAGGTCTTGCAGAATAATATTCCCAAGGGTGATGTGTACACCGTTTCAGGCAGATTTCTGAAGTACAAACTCCTGTGCACCAGCTTATAAAGTGCAGGAGAAAAGCTTGGATCAGTTGGTGACACAGAAGTGTAAAGAAGTTGTCCCCTTCCCTCGAGAGAGATGCTGACGAGGAAGCACAGGCTGCTTCAGGGGCCTGGTGGAGACTGGCCCATTGGCAGCTGGGTTTTAATTGATGCATGGGTTTGATCCTGGAATCACAGGTATGGGATTTGGAAGGTCAAGGCAAATCAGGCAGCCTTTCATGCTGCACAATTTCCAGCCCAATGTCGGTTTATGTGCGTGTCACAGAAATGCTAAAGCAGGGCTCGTTTTGTGTAAGTTGCCGATGTTTGTCTTCATAATACCCGGTAGTGATGCAAGGAGGAAAGGGAGCGAGCTGCCTCTTTGGAGCCAAGGCATGCAGATCAGCTCTTGCTGGAACTGCAATGGCAAAAAAACAGGAAGAGCTTAGCAGAGAGACAGGTTGTGTTGCCTTTGTCCTGTGAATGAGGTCCAGGTTCTGAAGCCGTGTTTTTCCTGCCTCCAAACCTCCGCCACCAAGGGAAGACATGAAATCAATGGCATCGAAGGGGCTGGCCTGCCTTTCTAGTCACCTATGGCCGTCTTCACACCCTTCACACCTGAGCGGTGCAGTTCTGCTAGTGGCTGTTTCCAAGACCTGGTGGCAGCAAACTCGTTTCCAGGGCAGTGCTCAGTACTGCTGCCCGTGAGGCGGCTCTTCCCCTGTCCTTGTTTTCTGGGACGAAACTCTGCTAACCTCAATGGAGTGGGAGACGAGAGCTGGACAAAAGCGGAGTGAGCAACTCATGCCAAAGTTTATATTAACTTTCACCATCAGCACCACTTTTCAGACAAACTGTATTTATGAGAACAGGACCCCAGAACAGCTTGCGAATCGGAAATCAGTTGTTTAAACAAATACTTAAAGGAAAATGTGGTAAATCCATTTTTTTTTTCCCCAGTGCTGAGCTACACTTTTCCTCACTCTTTAATTAACTTACAAAAATGCCTAGTTTACTCAATCTGGGAGATGGTGAATAATGTGAAGTCAGTAGTTTTGCACTCCTGGAAGGCAGTGCCTTCCAGTGTTTTTGTGGATGTCCCGGGGTCGTTCCTGTTTTGTCAGTCATCTTTCTGCTTTCCCACCGTGTCAGCATTTTCCAAGTCTTCCTGCACACCACATTTACTGCCATCTGTTCTGAACAGGTTTTTAATTTGGGATGGTAGTGAACATCCCAGGCCATTTAAAGCATTTAATCCCTGCCATCGCTGCCTCTTTTTGTCTTTTAAAAAGTGTTATCTTCAGCTTAATGCTTTCTGCAGAAGACTAACTTTTTCTGAATTTCCCCCAGGACAAACCCACACTTTTTGGCACGTTATTTTATTTGATAATGGCCCAATATACAGAGGGGGAGAAATAAAGTCTTGAAGTTCTGGTTATAGCTGCCACATAGCTCTGTTTATGGCAAAATGCTATGGTGGTTCTGCTGTTGGATCATATGGTCTTTTTGCATCTGATATAAAAGTCACGATTCGGTATTTTCAAACAAGCATCCTTACTTACCAGGAACAAGCTATCCTTAGCAACACAGAGCAAAGCAAGCAACCAGAAAAAAAACCCCAAACCCTGATGCTTGAACCTCTCTCCCATGCAATTTCTCAAAAAAATCCAACCCCGCCTCCCCCCCAACATTATACAGTGCCTTTAGGGTCTCTCTTGTCCTTCACTGGGCTTCTTTCTTTTCAAGCTCACAAGCAAAATAGTTGTTGGGTTATGGTAACTGTACAGGTACTGAATTTGTTGCCACCTAGGAAAGGAACAGGAAAAAACAAAATAGTAACAAAATATTACTTTGCTTTCACCTTTATTTTTTAGAAAACCCCAAGATTAGGATGATGACACACAGCTACCGTTTTGGCACCGAGAGCTTCTTGTGTGCGCTTGCAGTTGCCAGCTGAAATTGTGCTTTATGGAACTGCTGGCAAATCACCCTGTTTAGGATTGTGGTTAACTCGCAAATTAACTAGCCTATTAATACACATTTTAAATGAAGTTATGAAAATCAGGAAGATGGGCTAATCATAGAATAGTTTAGGTTGGAAAAGACCTTTAAGATCATTGAGTCAGACCGTTAACCTAACCCTGCCATCCCACCACTAAACCATGTCCCTAAGCACCTCATCTACCCATCTTTTAAATACCTCCAGGGATGGGGACTCGGCCACCTCCCTGGGCAGCCTGTTCCAATGCTTGACAACCCTTTCAGCGAAAAAATTTTTCCTAAAGTCCAACTTAAATCTGCCCTGGTACAACTTGAGGCTCTTTCCTCTTCTCCTATCACTTGGGAGAAGAGACCAACCCCCACCTGGCTACAGCCTCCTTTCAGGCAGTTGTAGATAAGGTGCCCCTCAACCTTCTCTTCTCCAGGCTAAACAACCCCAGTTCCCTCAGCCCCCCTCCTTTGCTTGCTGAGCAGGAAGGAATAAAAGATGGTTAGTTTTTTCCAAGCAGGCAAATAAGTTATGTACAAGTGTTTGCGTTACAGTGGGAAATTGGGCCTTTCTTTCCCAGCTTTTCTTAGCGATGTGGTTTGTACATCGGGTGGCAGTGACACATACCATATCATTGTTTTGTTCTTCAACAGCTGATTGAGCCAAGATAAAATTTGCTGAAATAAATTAATTCATGGAAAGTTTTTATTATTTTATACCTTTTTTTTCTTTTTTCTGTATTCTGAAGACAGTTTTAGGAAGTACTTCAATAAACTTCTTTCACTGACTTGAATATCATACTGCAGTACAGATCAGGCACAGAGGTTTCCCTAGCTGTATTTACCTGATCAGTTCTTGGTTTCAAAGGCAAAGACGTCATCCCATGATGACAGTCTGTTATAGTTACTGCCTTACGCTGAAGATACTGAAATTCCCTTGACTCGCAGCAGTTGCCTACATGTTGCATACGTGTTGCCTGTTTACTCTTCAGCAAATACCAACCACTGAATGTTCAGCATTTCCCCCTTAATTACTTAAAATGGATGTTTGCCAGGTTATAACAGGACTTGATCGTTTGATCATGACAAGGAGAGGCCCTTTTACCAGTTTATCTCCTAGACAGGTCCTGTGATCTGCCCAGACATATATATAATTATTATATAATATTATAGGCTATAATTGAGTTTCAACAGCTCCATCCAGTTATACCATGCTTGAATTTGTTCTGTTAGTCTCTTCTTTAAAAAAAGGAAAAAGAAAAAAAGACAGTATTTACCACTCAATTCATGTGAACGTATTGTGTGTCGGTGGCCCAGTGTTTGAAAAGCCCTTGGAGGGCAGGTGGTGCCAGTTGGGAAGGTTATGTGAGTGATCATACATGCATGCAGAATCATACCAAGGCTGTTGAAAAAGAGGGATTTTATATCTCAAGTGAAATGTTTAGGTCTCTCAGGCTGACATCTTATTTATGTCATGAAAACTGCTTTCAGTGAAGAAACTTGACAACAAGGTTAGCAGCCAGGCACCTGTTGATGTGCATTCCTAAGTATTTCATTACAGTTCTGTGGAGAAGAGCCCCAGAGAGTGGACATAAACCTGAACACATAGCGGTTAAAAGAACTATTTATGTGATTTTCTGTTACCTAATTGCAGGTGTCCCAGGCTCCATGCCCAACGCATCATGGGAGGGTGGCCTGAAAGCAGTGAAGTGGATTGATATGGAAGAGATACATGGAGGTTGTCATGGTAATGTGTACATTTTTCTCCATTTCTTCTTCTTGTTCATGTAGTGAAAAACACTCGACTGTTGTTCCTGTACTCCTACAGCCTCTAATCATAATTTGAGACAGTGTTTAGACAGCACTTCATCTGAGAGAAGACATTAAAAAGGAGCCATCTCCTTCATAGTCCATATGTGAATGATAGTAGCTACATAAACAGTGAGAAAGCTGGAAAGGTTGCGTCTTGACCAGGAATTTTATAGAATATATCAGCCTTGGAAAGGGGGATATTTGGCATTGCTTAGGGCTCACATGAGTTAGTTGACTATTTGCTTGGAGGCCTTGGGGGAATTTTCTCACAGGTGGGTGGGAATAGCCCATGTGTATGTCCTGCGCTGGGATGCAGATGCGGTAGAGCCAGCAGCGGTGTGCAGGGTAGGTGTCCTCTGTGAACCTGGACAAATCCCAGCTCTCAGCTGGGCACCAAAGCCTGCCAGAGCCACAGCTGACGAGGAACCTAAGGAGGTTGCAGGCTGACGATGACGGTTGAGCTTTGAGTTTTCCTATGTCGCGTTACTTCACGACATGACATTAGCAGTAGATAATCTTCTGTACGGCACACTTAATTTTTCAGTCACTGGTTTGTATGTTGTGTACTGCTACCACTTCTGACATATCCACGTGGGATGAGAAAGGGAATGCCAAAACGCTCACGACACAAATTTTATTTCAAGAATTCTTAATCGATAACAGAGTTGTTTGTGTTGAGGACAAAAATTCTGAGAACTTCAGTCAGCTTCAATTACAGCAGTTTCACATTGGCATAACCATGTTGAAGTCAGTGAAATTACACCAGTAACACCCAGAATTAGTTAGTAGAAAATCTAGTATGAGTAAAAGTATCGGTTTCTCTTTGCTGACAAGGAAATTCCCCTTTGCTGTGTTTCAGCCTTGCCTGAGAACGAGTATCAAGCAGTAACACTTCTTTTCTGAGCTATCTCCTTATTTTTCTCATTATTTATTCTGAAGTAACTTGCTTCATTTCATCCCATTGTTCATACTCATTCCCATTGCATGTCCGCTAGGCCTTTTAGCATGTTTGGGGTATACGAGATTATTTGTAGTGGCTTTGCAGATAAAGATCCTCAAAAAGAATGATTTGGATCCCTGATTCTGACATTGCTTGCTTTCTTTTTCTTTTGGCAGGCCATTACGTCAGAGGTATTTGTGTATACGGAACAGGTGACCTCAAGTGGCTTTTTAACTCCACCTGTATGTTTGCAAATAAGTTTGAGCTTAAAACATATCCCCTGACTGTGGAGTGCCTGGAGCTAAGACATCGCCAGAGAACCTTGTCCCAGAGTGAGGTTCGGGTGGAACCCAACTGGTATTTTTAGCGAGTAAAACCCCAGGCTGCAACATCTATAAATGCAGTCAAGAGAAGAGCAGCAGCAACCTTAATTTCTGCTGTGCCAGAAGCATAAACTCATGAGACGGGTTTCTTTAGGATGTTCTGTAGATGCAGCTCAGGTTGGCTTGTCTCACACTGCCTGCAAATCTCACCTTCCACTTAACATCCAGCACGAGAGATAATACAAAAAGAGACACCAGGGCAAAGTTCTTCTTGCAGCTGGAGGAGGTTTGCACTTTTGCCATTTTTAATGGGCTGTTTTCCAGACCCAACTTTTGTCTTGCTACACCATCATGGAGATCTTTTTCTATAAAAATATAAACAGAGTCATGCATCCCTGGCACTTCTCATGTCTGAAAGACCAGTGTGCACATTTGGTAAACAAAAAGGTAATGAGTCACAGTCAGCAAGATCTTAAAAGGAGGAACACAACTGCTAGTGCTACAGGCAGAGTCTATTTTGTCAAAGATGCTGATATTTACTGAAGAGAACTGATGGAAAAGTACTGGAAATGGAATAAAGACACTGCACTTCCCAGATCTTACCTGTTCTTTAAGTATCTGTTGGGGCAAGGTTTGTAAGAGAAAACAGCATCTTTTACTAGATCAATGAGTGTAGTTAGAAAAATCAGATAGGCTTTCGGACACAGGAGCCCTTCTTCATGTATCAAAACCAGGGGCTTGCATATTTGTCTTACTTGGCGAACTAACAGATCAGCAAAAAATAAAAAAAACCTCTCTACATGCAGATTTTTGCCCACCAGTGTCCTCAGACCATCATGTGTAAGGACACAGAGGGAGAGATGGAAAGTGGGGAACGAAGTAGCAGGATAAATATTGTCAGGACTGAAAGGGCAGTAACGGAGTTTTGGCAATAACTCAGTTATTCCATGGCATGTTTTCATACGGCATAAGCCTTCTTCCCAAGTTTACTTCCTTTCACCTTCATATAATGGTTAATGCACATACTTAACCTTGGGGTTCACTTCATCACAGCCCTATTTTTATTCCCCAACAACAGCCACTAGAGGGAGGCCATCAAATATCTGAGCAGATTTTCCCTTCCAAGTCTACATAACCCTTTAAGGCACCCAAAATCCCAGCAGACTAGGCATGCCGCAGAGAAAAAAATCAGTGCTCGGGAATATTTTAGTACGGCAATCAGGAGGTAAAAGTTAGGTGTATCGCTCATTGTGCCCTAAAAAACAAAGCAAGGAAGCAGAACTACGAATGCTTCTTCCTGTAGCTGTGACAGTTGTATTTACGTGGCATTTTAGCAGTGCTGTTGCGTGACCCAAGGCAGCAGCATGGAGGTAGCATAAACTGGGGTGCCAGAACCTAAGGAGGCTGTGTGCTGCTCTCCTGCCTCTCCTCTGAACAAGCAGTGACGTACCTCTTGAATAACAGCAATTTACCACCAACTTTATTAAACCATTGCTGATTTCAGGGTCTTTTAACAGACTGGATTGCAAACTGCAGCAGTTTGGAAATGGCAACACATCATATTTAGATGTCCTGAAGCATGGCTGGTAACCCCCAGGGAAGGTTCTGAACAAGCAGGATCTGCCTCAGTCAGCTTATATTTCTTTATATATTTATAGCTGCCAACACCTAATAATGCAGATCCCTGCAGAAGAAAGGTGCTGAGAATTTACCTCCAGAGCAGAACTTTGGTGGAAGTCCTGTTCAGTTTTTGGGGGGATGGGAGAAGAAGAGGGCTTTGCTAACTTGCTGTCGTGGTGGCAGCTGAAGAGAGAAGTATTTCAGAGAGCTTCATTCTTTTTAAAGAGGGAGTTTTAGGGTGTCCAACTGGAGAGGTCTGGAACTAGCCCTCCCCTTTGTTTTATCAAGCTGCATATTCCCCAAATTGAAACATCGCAAATAAGATAAAGACATTCTCACCATTTTATGTGAATATTTAGTGTATAAACAAGATTACTTTTCATTGTTCAGACTCTGCAGGCAAATGGCAAAATACCACCCATCAGCAGAAGCAGTAAGCTTGGCAGTTTGAAGCTCTGTATAGAAAAGGGTATTGTACACCGAGCCTGAACAAATATAGGTATTTTAAGGCTAGGTTATATTGCCCGTTTAAGTAAGAATGCAGAAAAAACATCACAGCTGGTTAGCCTATTGAGAGTTTGTCCAGCCATGACTTAAAGGATTGCTTTTTCTCCTAAATGCTACTCCATGTTACATTTTACTGGAAGTCAATCACCGTTTGCAAAGTGATGTGGAAAGAAAAGAGGGAAGAGAACAACTTCTGGCAGCCAAGCTCAAGAAATGCATTTGAACCGACGTGACCTAACAGCATTAGCAGTACTTTGGAATAGCAGTAAAAGTCAGGGAGAGATGGAAAAGTGGAGGAGGCAGCTGGCAGGAAGGGGGATGAGGAGGGTTAGACTCCAGCGCACAACAGCAGCAAGAGTGATTCAGTTCAGCAACCGCGGGTGCAGCTCCGTAGAGGGAGCTTGCTCACCGAGTAACCCACATCCATACCTCCTTGTTCTCTCTAATTATGGCAAAGCAGGGAGGGGGGAAGTAAACTCTTTACCAGTGCAACTTGTAGCTGCCTTTCCGAATCAGTAAGAACAGCAGAGCAAAGTTTTCAAGTCTGTCCAGTCGCTCTCTCAGAAGCTGACCTGGACAAGGCAAGTAAAGAACTTGCTCTCTCTAGCAGGATTTCCAAGCAGGTCCACCGAAGTCAGTTTGACTTGCTTAGACAACCCACTGGATGCCTTTCTGCTTACTGAGTTCCTAAAGACTTTTCTACGCTTTGCCCAAGGAGCCAGAATACCCCTGTAAGATTTAAGGCATGTACAACTGCAGACGTTTGACTCTGAGGACAGTGAAATGAGCACAGGACCAGGCTGCGCAGGGAGGCCGTACAGTCTCCATCCTTGGAGGGGCTCAGGACTCTACTGGACAAAGCCCTGAAGTCATGACAGGTACACCTGCACAGGCTGTCACCGCTTTGGGATCGCAGGTCAGGATTCATGCCTATGAATGAAAACCAACAGTCCACTTTCCTCGTTCCTAACATTGAGGACTTCTTTACATATCATACGATGCTATACAAGCAGCTCCAAGACCCTGCAAACTTCTGCGCCTGTTCTAGACACCGCAACATTTTTCCTTCATTCCCTAGCATCTCAGATGTTCGATACATACAAAATGAGCGAGAGAAGCAGCATGCATTCCTCTTTTATTACTCCATAAGTGAGGTAGGGAGGAGAGGGCATTTGGAGGTGCTGGTATTGCACCTTCTGTCAGTGGTGGGGAAGAGACGTCACCTTTCGAATCATAGAATCATAGAATCATTTGCTTGGAAAAGACCTTCAAGATCATCGAGTCCAACCGTACCTGTCCACTACTAAACCATGGCATCTGCGCAAATGCTACTCCAGGGCTCTAGTCTAGAGGCCTGAATTAAATTCCCTGGCCAAAGCCAGCCTAAACCAGAGGGCTCCCAGCCCTCCTGTTCCTGCTCCTGCTAGGTTTGTCCACACCCTAGCTGTATCAATTCCCCAGGTCTCAACCAAGAGGCTAAGCAGGAGTTGCGCCAGCCCAAAAGAAGGGGTGGCAGAGATGATCCCAGGACTAGGAGCCAGGCAGCTGCTCAAGCTGAGTCTAGTGACAAAAAAGAAAAGGAAAAAGAAAAAAAGAGAGGCTTACAAAGGTATCCTTTTGACCTCACTTAAGGCAAGAAAGTAATGGGGATGTGTTCACGTTTTCAGTTTTACCACTACTGTTAGGCATCACTTTAGAGGTCATACAGTAGCCAACTAACATGGGTCCAATATTGCTCCCTCTTGCCCCTACAAATGAATAACAGAAATTGTATAAAAGACACTGAAGTTACAGAACAGAGCAAAAGCCAAGCATGCTTCAATGGACCTGTGGTCTGGTTTAGTTTGCTTTCTTGCAATATCCCACTCCCCTGTTAAAGTACACTGCCCTGTCCTGCAAACCTTGTCTCACTTAAGTTGAGGGTGCCACAGCTACCACAAACTCACCATTTTGGCACCCACAACTGCAAGACTGGAGCTTTGATTCGCATGAGCAAACCATCGCAAAGCCACAGCAGGCGTAGAACTAAAGTAGGACTGGCTTCTCACCGGCTTCTGAGTCAGCTGCTGGCTTCTAATGCAGTTAAAGTGTCAAAGACGCTGGCAGATCTGACTTCTGTGAGCTGTGAAGTCAGCAGTGACACCAGCAACACCAAACAACGGGTGAAGCTGCAGGTGCTGCAAACACCACGGAGGACGGGGCCCAGATCTGCCCGTTGGCACACGCTGATTCAGAGGCCAAGCCGCAGCACTGTGCCGGGATGCGAGGGAATACAGTAACGCCCTCAGCTGCCGCCGGGAACCAGCCTGTTTGTTAACAGACAAATATCTAATGAACATGACATCTTGACATGAGGCTTAAAAAAAGTTTTACTGGCATTACTCCACACCTGAGAGGCACTTCTGCTGACCCTTTGCAAATACATCCATTCTTAATGGACTTGAATGAAGATGGATTTTCGTCACTCCACGTTCACAGGGCCGCCCACCCTACAGCTATGGTTTTGTTTGCCATCGCCTTCCTCTCCCCACGCTAGAGCCAGGGGTGACCAGTGCTGGCTGGGCTGGTGACCCCGTGGGGGACCCACGCTGGAGCAGTCTGTGCCTGAGGG